TCTCCATTGATAAGAATGTTGTTTATTGGTCCAGTGGTGAGGATTTTTGTTTTCTTGACATTGAGATGTAATCCATATCGAAGTCTGTGCTCCTTAATCTTCATAAGTAAATGTTTGAATTTTAGGGTTGGCGGTTGAAACACACCAGCCACTCTTTGGAACCCCTATACAGGGTCCACTATGAGTCAGAACAGACTTAACAGCACTTAAGAACAACAGAACAAGTATTTGAAGGATCACTGGTGCTGCTGTAGGATGAGCACTGAACTGGTAACCCTAAGATCAGCAGTTCAAACCCACCAGCCACTCCTTAGGAGAAAGATGAGGCTTTCTGCTACTGTAATACACCTACACAGGATCACTGTGGGTCAGAATCCATTTGATGGCAGTATTTGAGATTATGTTTGTCATCTCTGCATGGCTTGATTGTTTCCATTATTGGTTAATAATTATTTTTTGGTTTTTTTTTTTTTTTTTGTGGGAGAGAAAGTCAAACCACTTATTGAATTTCTGGGGATGTGGGGGCAAAAAGGTGGAGATGATGAGGTCTCATTAGTATGCGCCAGCCAGGATCTCATGAACCTTATTGTTATTGTTGTTGTTGTTAAGTGCCGTCGAGTCGGTTCCGACCCATAGCGACCCTGTACAGGGTTTCCGAGGGTGTAAATCTTTATGGGAGTAGAAAGCCTTATCTTTCTCCCGTGGAGCGGCTGGTAGTTTCGAACCGCTGACCTTAAGGTTCACAGCCCGAGTCGTAACCACTACGCTACCAGAGCTCCATCAAATTGGTTCCAACTCACAGTGACCCTATGTAGGGTTTCATAGGAGCAACTGATAGGTTTGAATTTCTGACCTTGGGATTAGCAGTCCAGTGCTTATCCTATAGCACAGCATCAGGAGTCTACCTTAAAGCCACAAAAAGCAACTTTTTTTCCCTTTTCTTTTTACAATTTCCAATATAAATCTTTTGAGGTGTTTGACTGCACATAAGTAGCCTTAGTGTTGCTATTCTATTTTTATTATTGTTGTAATATCTCTGTCACACAGTTTTTGTTTATTTAATCCATTATAATTGTATTGACTACAGCTACAACAGTTGGCTGTGCAACCCTAGCCCCAATCAGTGTGATTGCTCCATCACTGTTAACCCTTCCACCAGCTTCCCTTTCATCCTGACACTGGCAACCACCAGCAAACTTTGGTCTTTATATACTTTACTTTTCTTACTCTTTTGTAAGTGAGGTCATACAAATAACTATCCTTTTGTGACTGACTAATATTGCTAAGCATAAGTCTTCAAGCTCTGTCCATACTGTAGTACGTATCCAGATTTTATTACTCCTACTGGCTACTGAGTAGTATTTTCTTGTGGGTGTGTACCACTGGTGATAAGCGTTTAAGTGTTTTCCACTTTTTGGCTATGGTGAATAGTGTTGCAGTGAACACTGGTGTGCAAGTCTCTGTTTGAGTCTCTGCTTTCAAGTCTTTTGGATGTATACTTAGAAGTGGAATTGCTGGGTCATATAATAGTTCTACATAGCCCTGGTAGAGTAGTGGGTTACAGGTTGGACTGCCAACTATAAGGTCATCAGTTACGTTAGCTGTTTTGAGGGAGAAAGCTGAGGGTTTCTGCTCCAGTAAAGATTTACAGCCTTGGAAACCCTATATAGAGCTGCTGTGAATCAGAACCAATTCTATGCCACACAGCTACCACTACCACCAAACTTTTATTTTTAGAGGAACTGCCGCACTGTTTTTCATGACAGCTGTATCATTTTTCATTCCCAGCAGCAGTAGATAAAAGGTCCAGTTTTTCTACATTATCATCAACATTTGTTCTTTTTCTGTGTTGTGGTCTTGTGATCTTGTTTTGATGTGTGTATGTTTTTAAAGTCTTAGGCATTCTGGTGGGTTAGTGGGAGTGAAATAGTATTGCATTGAGGTTTTGCTTGCTTCTCTGATACCTTATGATGTTGAGCATGTTTTCATAGTTAAGTGGCCATTTGAATGCTATCTTTCATGAAATGGTTATATAAAGTTGAGGATTGGGTTTTCTACTTTTGTAAAGAAGACTATTGGAATTTCTATCAGGATTGTATTGAATCTATAGATTGCTTAGGGCAGTATTTTAACAATAATAAAACTTCCAGTCCAGGAACATTGTTTTTACATATTTGTCTTCCTTAATTTCTTTCAACATTGGTTTATAGTTTTCATTATATAAGTCCATTTTTCCCTTGGTTAGATTTATTTCTAGGTATTTTGTTGCCTTACATGCTGTTGTAAATGGGATTGTTTCCCTAACTTGCCTTTATTTCTTACGGTTGCTGTATAGAAACCTATCTGATTTTTGTATGTTGACCTTTTACCCTGCAACTTTGCTAAATTTCTCTGTGAATTCTAGATTTCTTCACTATTTAATGAGTAAATAGTGTGAAACTCAAAGGTCAAGCATATTTTTCAGTAGACAGATCAAAATAATTCTAGATATGTGACTTTGAGTATTTGATTTATTACATTATCTGTTGAAAAAACATGTAACACAGATCATAGAGATGTATAAGATATTTTGAGGAAGAGGAATTGATTACTTAAGAATTTTTGTTGAAAAAAGTTTTGCATTTATAGTTTCCAAATTATGAAATTGGAGTTCTGGTGTGGCGCTGTGGCTTAATATGTCAGACTGCAGAGCCGTTTTAACTGCAAGGTTGGCTGTTCAAGCTCACTAGCTGCTCCTTGGAAACCCTATACAGGGTCTCTTATGGGTCGGAATCAACTCAACAGCACTTGACAACAACAACAATTATAAAGTTAACCTGTGTCTCTATGTTAAGCTAATGTTTTTAAAGTATGTATTATGGCCATAACATAGAAGGGCAAAGCAAGTTCATGCCTTTGGCATACAAGCTCTAGCTTCTCATTTCCTTTTGAATACATTTGGTAGAAATGTTATATTATTTATAGCAACAAAATGCAAAAGAAATGCTTAAACATTTCATATTTAATCTTTGGTAAGTTACCATGTTTAGTGGTTGTTTTCTTGAAATATGTGTAATGTGATGTATGATATATCTTTAAACTTGTAAATTTTTATACTAAGAAAAAACTTTTCTCAAAAGATAATTATTTAGCATATTTTGTTAATAATAACATATAACACATAATGTTCATTTTTCTTTTTCTGTAGGTTTTATGGGAATTAGAAACCTTACGTCTCATAAATCACTTTCAAAAGTCTATGAAAGCAGAAATTGGAGATGATGATGATGATGATGATGATGATGAATTATATATAGTAGACAACGATGGAGAAACACATTTGTTTGACTTTACTGGACAAGACTTTGAAAATAAGCTTCGAGTTCCCCTTCTTGAAATACTGAAATATCCCTACTTACTGCTACATGAGCGTGTTAGTGAGTATCTTGGATATTCCTCATGTTTCATAAGTATTATTGTTTTGAGAATTGTAAGGAATTAGGTTTAACTATATTGAAATGTTTATTTACTAAAACCTTTAATTGTTGTTGTTAAGTGCTGTTTAGTCATTTCTGATTCATGGCACCCTTGTATCGGGTTCCGGTGAGTAGGTGATGAGTTTGAACCACCGATGTTGTGGTTAGCAGTCCAGTGCTTCTTGTTGTTAGGTGCCATTGACTTGGTTCTGACCCTGTGCACAATAGAATGAAATGCTGCCTAGTCCTGCACTGTCTTCACATTGTTGTTATGGTTAAGCCCATTGTTGCTGCCATTTTGTCAGTCCATCTCTTTGGGGGCGGTCTTCCTCTTTTTCACTGATCCTCCATTTTACCAAGCTTAATGGTCCTTCTTCAGGGACTAGTTCCTCTTAATAATATGTCTGAAGTATGAGAGATGTAATCCTTCCTAGCTTCTAAGGAGAATTCTGGCTGTACTGGGTTTTTTTTTTCCAATCCAGATTTGTTTTCTTCTGGTTCTCCATGGTACTTTGACTATTCTTCTACAACCATACTTTAAATACATCAATTCTTCTACAGTCTTCCTTATTCATTGTCCAACTTTCACTTGTATATGAGACCATTGAAAATACCATATGGTTTGGGTCAGGCGTGCACCTTAGTCATCAAAGTGGCATCTTTGCTTTAGAGTTACTGTTGTCAGTTTGATCTGATACAGATAATTCTTTAAAATGTAGTGCTAGTGTGAACATTCTTTATTATTCAGCTCAATTATTTCATTTAAAGGGAGGTTCAGGAATAGTTTAAATTCAAGGTTCAGAAATTTCGTCAGTATAACAGATTCAGGGGTCCTTTCATCCTCCATTGGTCTAGTAAATCTGGATTCCATAAGAAACTCTCAAATCCACTCCATATATTCTCCTGTTTAGTTCAGTACTCATTTATAGAGTCCTTGATCAAAACATTCAGTTATGATAGCCAGATACCACCCAGCTCTTCTGGTCTCATGGTAAATAGGCAGTAGTTCATAGAGACAACAATTCTTCTCACTGCTGCTCCAGGCAAATGAGCAATTATTATATCTTGGATGGCTCCTTCACCAGACTTTTTTTAAATTCTAGAGATTGTATTGTTTTACCTTTACAAGTTTTTAAGACCCCAGGCAGTACTCCATTGAACTGGAAGGTAGAACATAACCACATCTAAAACCACGTTAGGTCAATTGGCTGGACAGTCCCATGAAGCCGTGACTGTAAACTTTCAACCCAAGAGAACTAATCCTGTGAGGTGTTTGGTCATACCTAAGTAGTTTCCGTAATTGTATCCTCTTTTGGGGGGTATGGGGTTGCTGCTGCTGTTGTTAAATTATATATAACAATACAGTTATTAATATTTTTGTTGTTGTTGTTTTACAACTTAGTATATCAGTTACATTTGTCACGTTTCGTAAGCATTACCCTTAACCAGTGCCAGTTTTCCCATCAGCATAGGCATAAACTTACAACTTCCCAAAGAATGATTCCCCATCCTATACCAGGTAACCACGGTTAACCATTTTGGTCTCTGAAAGTGAGGTCATACTAGTATTTGTACTTCTGTGATTGACTTATTTCTGCATCAGGACTGCCATTTCTTTTATGGCTGAATAGTATTTCATTGTTGTATCACTACATTTTTATTCATTCATCTATTGATGGGCACTTTGGTTGTTTCCACCTTTTTGCTAAAAAGAATCTACTTTCATATGCATGTTAAGTGCTTTTGAGTCGCTATCGACTTACAGTGATCCAATATAGGGTTTCCTAACAGCGGCTGGTGAGTATGAACTGCCAACTTTGCGGTTCAAACCAACATTTCCGTTTAATGCATTAACCCACAATGCCATACCAGGACTCTTTTGTATACACATACACACTTTTTTTTTTTTTTGCCCGTAAGTTTGACTTGTTGAAGAGCCTGTATAACAGTAGGTACTTTCTAGATTTTTCTGATTGCTTCTTTGTGATGTTTAACTTATCTAACCATTACATTTTTTAGTACATGAGAAGGTAGATCTAAAGACCTGATTAGAATAAAAATTTTCTGTAGATCAATGAATTCTAAGTAATTAGTTTTAAAATTCTAAGAAGGCATTTTTTCAAACTTTTGTTGAAAAATAATATATGTAAACTTCAAATTTTACAAACTTAACACATTGTGAAAATAACTCCTAGATCAAGAAACAAAACATTACTAGTACCCTAGAAACTCCCCTCTTCTTCCAATTAGTATTCCTCCTCTCTAAGGACAGCACCTATCATTAACATAATATATTTATTTTTATTTATTTATTTTTAAAAGTTTTATTGGGAATTATGTGATAGTTTACATGGGTACATGGGAGAACATTAATTAGTTTTGCATTCATCCTATCAAATATTGTTTCATTGCCATGGTTACAACCCCCTCCACGCATCACCAGTCAATGAAAGGGTACATTCTACCAGTCTGCCCCCGCCCCCCCAGTTGTCAGCACACAGACCCTCTCCCTCCCAGGGTCCTGAGTCCCCAGTTGCTCCATCTCTCCACGTCATCATCTCTGCCTCCATCTCGGGGATCTCTGCTTCTCTGGGTAGGGTCCTGCTCTCTGTTCTTCTCCCTTCATGGTTCCAGGGACCTCTGCTCCTAGCCTGCAAAGTTAATCACTCCCCTCCTTGCCACAAAATATTTACTTTTACATTTACAACCTTTACAATCCGTCCTGGTAACAATTATTCACCCCTGTATCACAAGAGACCTATCCGCATTTCCTTTCATCAGTGCCGCCTAGACAGATTGGATACTACTCAGTGGAGAGTCTACTTTCCTCTACGCCCTGTGGATCTAGGTTCCCTTTTGAAAGCTTATAAACCAGTCACTTCTTGCCTTTGTAGCCCCCCCATTTTGTATAGCCAATGTCTAAGTTGCCCATCCCTGTCCACTCTGTGTATGAAGGGGTGGGTGGGAATGATGCTTGCTGTAAAGATTTGTTTCCTCTTTTGAGGTACTGCAACCATAGGTGTAGGTCAAGTTCATCAAATTGTATCAGATTACTCTTTTTTTTCTCTTGTATCTTCTTCTAGTTGTGCTCTGATCATCTAGTCATTGAGGCCAGGTCAGGTGGGTATTATCTGCAAGTGTGTGGGTGCTTTGTGAATATGCCCTCACTTCTTATCAGCTGGACACTTCACTCTCCACTCTAGCTCTCTGTGGCTATGTCACTGACTCTGGGTCCAAGAGTCCCCAGATCTTGCCACACTGCTGACCAACCAGGTCTCCACCTGGGTTCACAAGAGTCTATTGAACGTTGTAGGGCTTAGCTCGCAGCCTCATAGCTAAGCACCCTAACATTATTCCCCCTTTTTCCCCAATCTAACCATGTTTCAATCTCTGTATCCCAGAGCCCTGTTGTTCCAAGGTTGTGCATACATCATTATTTATCTCTGTCCCACTTAGCCCATGCAATTCTGCCTACTTGTTCTCCCATCTGCTTTGTTCTTCCATTCCCTTCCCCCTTCTTGTATATTGCCCCCCTCCCCAGCACCCAAACTATCCTGTGTCTATTCCCTGCCCTGTGTTCTACCTTTCTGTCCCTCCCCTCTCCCCTCCCCCGACATCCCAGCAACCAGCAAAGAATCCCCGCCCCCCCCCCTTTAGTATGGGTTCTTTTTCTTAGTCTTTTACAGTAGTGGTCCTATGGAGTATTTCTCCTTTTGTGACTGACTTAATTTCACTCAACATAATGTCTTCAAGGTTCATCCATGTTATGTGGTGGTTTGTAGCTTCTTTGTTATTTTTCAAGGTAGCATAATATTCCATTGTATGTACGTACCACAGTTTTATCAGTTCTTCAGTTGATGGGTAACATAATATATTTAAGTTTGACAAAGTTGATTCAGTTGAAAAGGGTAAATGTATGAATCTATCAGGACTCTTCTCAAAAAGAAGAGTATTGGGGCATTTTCTATAAAGTGACAGGAATTTGAATGGTGGAACACAACAGGGAGTCCAGAAATATGCCAGATATATTTGCAGAATATAGTGTTTAATGATGGTGGCATGTTATATCAGTAGAGAAAAGGTTGATTATTCAATCAGTGGGATTAGAACATCTGGGGGAGAATTGACTTTGTTCCTCAGTCCTTTATCTGTTGAAATCAAGATGCATCAAAATGTAAAATGCAATGGAATTAGATTTACAACCATTCTTATAAGAAGATAGCCCATGGAGATAATTGCACCAAATATAAACTTGTGTAGACTAGTAAATATGTATAAACAGACAAAAACAATGAAGGGGAAAAAAAACAGGGTAGGTGCCAGACTCAGAAAATTTTTGGGTCTCCTGGTAGCCAAGGACCTCATGTCATGTATGGGCAAAGGGTAAGATGGTAACACTCAACCCTAATTGGAGTTCTGTAGGACTGGGTGTTGTGTGTTCTGGTCACCCGATCTGCAGTAGTTTGTGCAGAACCAAAAGCAGCTGGTGGCTCAGGGTATTTCCATCTCAGAAGGCAGCGGAGGGTGTGAGCTCCTGCTTGTTGAGGGTTGACCAGATTGAGCCCTTCAGATCTACAGCAGGCCACACCTGATTCCAGATGCCAGGGTTGGTGCTGCTGACTTCACACACTCTTTGATGCAGCTTTGACAGCTCAGAGAGCAGAAGTTTTGCTGGAGGGGTGGGTACGCGGATGGAAGCTGGCCGCACACCTTTGGTTTTTGGTGTATAAGGAAAAAAGGCTGCTCCCTTCTCTTCACCAATCAACATTATATCTGCACCACTTACTGCTCTTTTGCCTTCAACGTGTGTGAAAGCTCAAGGTGGCCATGCTGTGTTTGGCTGGCCTTCACAAATCACCAGTCTCTTTTTTGCCCCTCCTCACCCCCATACATCTCTTCAACCTCTTCTCCTAGTGAGAGTTAGCCGAGGGCTGGTTCTGCAGATTTGGAGCAGGGCCTACCTGCTCTGGGTTAATGTGAACAGCTCCCCTCCTTTAATGGGGCTTACAACTGGTATACTCACCTCTGTCAACTCCAACTGCTGGCACAAAGGGAGCTTCCCTGGGTGTGTCTGCTAGTGGGAGCCAGTCTCGCTTGTGATCACCAGGGGAGTGTGGAGAACAAGAAAAAAATCACTCCTTTATCGCTACAAGCCACAGATACGTTTCTACACTACCAATATGTTTTCTTGTCTCTGAAGCTCCTTACAAAAGCTTAAGATGACTGTACTGTGTCTGGTCAGCTGCCACAGTTCAGCAGTCTCTTCTTTTATTTGCTGCATGTGCTCCTTTCTCTTTCCTATCTCTAGGAGATAGTCCACTTCTCTATCCCTTCTTCTGAAGCTCACTAGGACTGTCAATTGCATCTGTTTCATTTGATTTTCCTTATCTTTCTTTGTTGTAGAGGATCCATACAGCCTTCTGTCTAGTCTGTCATCTTGCCCTCCTCCTAGACTAGTAAAGTCTGCGTAATTCTTAGTAATTCACTATGGTCAACTGATTAAACTATAAAGTAGGTAAAAATTGTTCCCGCATTAGCACTGTCCACATTTTTATGCCTTAGTTAAAAGCAAAAAAACTGTTCACGTGCCTACAGAATAAAGGAGTCTTGTTCTGTACTTACAGATTTAGAGAATCTTTAAGTTGCTAAGATCTGGGTCTTGTATTTACTGCTTCCCTTTTTTATGTAGATGAATTATGTGTTGATGCACTTTGTCGGATGGAACAAGCCAATTGCTCCTTTCAAGTTTTTGACAAACATCCCGGAATCTATTTGTTTCTGGTCCATCCCAATGAAATGGTGAGTATGAACATCAGGCAATAAGTAAGTTATATACTAAAAATCTACTTCTTTTTTGTATATATAAATAGCTAGAAAATGTGTTTGGTGTATATTTTGATTAAAATATTTGCTAGATTTTGTTTGTTTTTGGTAAAATTAGCATATGTAAGTAGAGGGTGAACCGAACCAAAGAAGAGGAGATCCAAGAGGACAGGACATAATTCTAAACAGTTGATGCTCAAGCTCAAAAGACAAAGGAATCACTTTCAATATGTAAGTGAGCTGAGGAAGGAAAGTGATTCTTTCTTGCCTACCTTGCCTGTTTACGCCACTCCAATACTGTGTTTAAGAAATATAAAATCCCTAGGTGCTAGAAATCAAAACAAAATCAACTTCTCAAAAAGAAGAGTGATTATAAATTTTCTATAAAGCAGCAGAAATTAGAATGGTGATAGCATAGACCAGTGGAATAGGAAGAATCCATGAAGAGCTGCTTTGCAATATAAGGCAAGAAAGGACATTTTAGAAGAAAGACAGTGCTAAATGCCCCTCAATGGAAGAATGGACAGACAAACAAACATAGACACACTAGAATACAATGCAACGTTGAAGAATGACTGTGAATCTGTGAAACACTTCATAACGTGGATGAATCTGGAGGACATTATGCTGAGTAAAATAAGTCAATCACAAAAGGACAAGTATTGTATGAGATCACTATTGTAAAAACTCTAAAGGTTTTCATAATAAAAGAAACATTCTTTGATGGTTAATGGGTGGGAGGGAAGGGAGAGTAATTCAGTGGCTAGATGGTAGACACATGTTAACTTGGATGATGGGGAGGGCACTATACAAGAAGAGGGAGGTTAGCAGAAGAATGATGAAGATAGATGAACACACAGGAAGGGATGCAAGGGTTAAAGGGGATAGAGGTAAATAGTGATATATACACAACCTTGGAACAACAGTATTCCGTGAGTAGATACATAGATATAGAGACACAGACAGAATGAATAAGAGTGGGGTATATATACACATATGTAATGTTATGTAACATATAAAGTACCATTGAACCCCACAAATGTATGAGTATTAAAGAGGATATTTGTACATGAGTAGGAGCTCTGGTAGCGTAGTGGTTACGAATTGGGCTGCGAACCTTAAGGTCAGCGGTTCAAAACTACCAGCTGCTCCGCGGGAGAAAGATGAGGCTTTCTACTCCCGTAAAGATTTACACCCTCGGAAACCCTATACAGGGTCGCTATGGGTCGGAA